TCAAAATTATACAGAGCAAGTGTCTCAGCTATTGGTATACAAAGTAGTAGGTACCTAAGCGCATCACTAGTAGTAGCGTATCAGTTATGTACCAACTAGTATCCTGTAGGCACCCAATTTTTTCATGCCGACGTTTTCACATGTTAAGCCAGTCTGCAAATATTTAATTTTTTTGAATTGATAACTCCGGGATTGAAATAAAGAGCAACAAACTGTAATATGCGGCAGCTTTTAAACATACGTTTTGGCCCAGACCAGTGGCAAGTGTGTTTGTCGCATGATCGTGGCTGTGGTGGTTATGCAACACGACTGGCGACAGTGGCAGTTTTCTGTGATGCCTTACAAAGATTCGCTAACATGTTTCATTTTACGCTTTTCACAAAAACACAGCTCACATTTACTTGAAATGGGATGTCATTCCTCCGCAGCAAAACAATCTAAATCAACAAAATGTTTCAATTTGTCTCGATTTTGACGTCGAGGTGGCAAAGTCAGGTTACCGAAGTCCGGGGAGAAATCAGGTTTTTGGGTAGGTTTGGCAAACCTTTTCGGCCTAGTTGTCAGAAAATATGACACATTCAGCAAAAGTATGCCGTAGAAAGATGCTTGTTTTATAGTCCAAGGCTATGCACGCGTGTCCGACGCGCTGAAAGGCTCCTGTGTTAACAGACTTTTAGTTGATCAATAATTTCGTCAGCATTTTCAATTTCACAGCAAGGGGGCACTTAATCAACAAGGTAGCATGCCTAACGAGTCTTACTTAAATAGTGATAAAACTCTCCGTTTTAGAGGCCCGATCAGGCCTGGTCTGGCCACCGCACCATTCTAGAATAACATACCTGCGACCACTGATGGTAGCGCATGTGCGAATAGAGCTTTGCGACGAACTCAGCTGCAGTTGCGCAGAAGTTGTTCAGTCAGGCGTTGTTTTCCTGTCACACAGAAAACATTCATGCAATATTCTCAGCTTTCCAGTCACCATGTCAAGCCATTAAAACAAGCAGCTGTAGGAGCGCCATCCACTCAATCAAATCGAAAGTCTCTCGCTCATTCATTTTCCGTACGAGGCATACGTACGACACCGGCTTTTAATCATGGCACATGGCTGATATGCTGCATCACTTCTGAAAAATCGGTGCTCAACATTTTTAGTAGCCTCATAACAAAGCCACAATCATCTAGACAGAGGAAATATGGCATAGATATTTTTTCCACGCAGCAGAAACGCATAATACATATTTGCATGAAATCGCATTGTCTCGACAAAACAACAAATCAAATGTTGCCACATTTCACAATCATTCCATGATGCATCACACACGAGTACTGCCATCAATGCTTAAAACATCTATGTGAAAATTGCCGGATTTGTAGCTTACGTTCAAGAGCGCCTGCTCACAAAGATGCGTCCATATTTATGCCAGCATAGTGATCCACTTTCTCCTCAGTAAATGTGTCAGCCTTGTGCCGGTGAGGCAAAGGATGACTGAGATTAGGGCCTGTTTTGACCCGTAGCAAGTTAGCAAATTCGCTGGCGGAAAATTGGATGCTCTCATGCTGATGTAATGAATAATATTATATTTTCCTCAAACCACAATGCTGCAAGAACATCGCAGCCGACTTGAAAATTGCATAGATATGTTTAAACATTACGGAGCCTCATTTTTACAGAACTGTCTTTCACATTGCCACAAACTGCACGAAGTTGTGGTTCGTGGTTGCAAAGACATTGGCTTCAAGGAAGTGTGACAGCCAGGCCTCGCCGCTCAAATAGAAAATGTGCTGGCTGTATTTGAGTTGAAAGACGCGGCGAGGCCTGGCTGTCACAAATAGAAAATGTGCTGGCTGTATTTGAGCTGAAAGACGCAGCGAGGCCTTGCGTGATTGTGATGAATGACTGGCATGACCAAATGTTTGGGTTGATAGCCAAAAACATAACATAACGCGTCGAAGGTAATATTGCACATCGCCCATTTCTTCACACTCCGGCTGTGGAAGACCCCATTGCGCAATGTGCAGCCGGTTTGCAGGTAGATGATATTGCTCATTCGATAGACACAAGATGTGTACCTCTCTCGTCATAGAAACAAGACGACCATAGTGTCTATAAGATGAACAACGTCATCTACTTGCACTGCGGTTGCGCCATGCGGTCTTGCACAGCCGGAGTGTCGAACAAAGAACAGCGATCGACTGACAACGACCGACTCCTGAGCGGCTCGGCGCCGGCCTGTGACGCTGCCTCGCGCTTCTCCCGCCCCTGCGCAGCTCGCTGGAGACGCAGTCAGTCGACTCCTGAGCGGCTCGGCGCCGGCCTGTGACGTTGCCTCGCGCTTCTCCCGCCCCTGTGGAGCTCGCTGGAGACGCAGTCAGTCGACTCCTGAGCGGCTCGGCGCCGGCCTGTGACGCTGCCTCGCGCTTCTCCCGCCCCTGCGCAGCTCGCTGGAGACGCAGTCAGTCGACTCCTGAGCGGCTCGGCGCCGGCCTGTGACGTTGCGCTTCTCCCTTCCTCCCGCCCCTGTAGAGCTCGCTGGAGACGCAGTCAGTCGGCTCCTGAGCGGCTCGGCGCCGGCCTGTGACGCTGCCTCGCGCTTCCCCCGCCCCTGTGGAGCTCGCTGGAGACGCAGTCAGTCGACCCCTGAGCGGCTCGGCGCCGGCCTGTGACGCTGCCTCGCGCTTCTCCCGCCCCTGCGCAGCTCGCTGGAGACGCAGTCAGTCGGCTTTGCCTGTCGCTGTGCTTACTGCTTCTCCCCCGGCTGCGCAACCCTGTGAAACCGTCGTCTCCCTGAATACCCCAACCGCATCGTTTGGTCTGTCTCAGGGCGTTGAGTGGCCACCCCCTCCTTGGCGTGTGGTTTTGGCAGCTCTCACCCCCAGGCGTTCGCAGTGGGCGCAGCGCTAGGCTGCGTTTGTTCCGTCTCCACCAAGTGCTCTTCCTCTGTCATGCGAGCACGACAGCGGTACTGCGCGGCCGCGGCCGCCTACCGCCTCACCCCAGCCTCCTCCAAGTGATACTGAGGTGCAAGCGCTCAGTTTAAAGCGCTCACTCTTCAAACGGAGTTAGCATTCGTACAGGAGCAGACAAAATCATAACAAGACGCTATTCTCCTCCACCAGCACTAAAAGGGCTAAACCGCACGATGTGAAAAGTTATCAAAGAGAAGTTTGCTTACTGGAGCCGTTACACTGTTGCGACAGAGAGAGAACGGCCGGTGGGGGTGGAGAGAAACCCTTCTCTTGAACCAGGGGTCAGCAACCAGCTGCGCCAGAACTATCTTTGCTTTCGGGCCGTCCTCTGCTGGGATAGACTCCCAGAGGAAGAGATGTCATCTTCAAACGTCAACATATTGAATGACAGGCTATATTAATGCGGATTTGGTAAGCAATAGGTAGGTAACCAGATGGTAGGTACGGGCAGGTTATTTTAGGTACACCGAGGTCAAACTGAATTGCCCGAATCTGAACGACAGCAATATATCTTTACGACAGTTCAGGGCAGGAATTTTTCTCCTTTCATTGTTTCAAGAAGCATTGATCAGAAATCCGGCAGGTCCTTGCAGACATCCCCTTTCCGAGACTCTGACCCGGTATAATGCGGTTCAAGCAGTTTTCGCACGTTTTATTTTGTCCTATCGCTGAGCGTCAACAATAACATATTTTAATTATTCGCACGCAAAATGTCTGTTTTGCGCTGTTTGACATCCCTGGGTTAGGGAAATACAAGCTAAGCCTTTTGCCGAAAATCACTGAACGCACTTGGCACGTGCTCCAAACTGTGCAAAACTTTAAGTTCGCAAATATTCCGTTGGTTGTTAAAAATGGTGGTTACGACCATCGCTGATTACAGCTGGCGAACTGGCAAACGTTTGCAAATGGGACATGCATACGGACGGTTTTGTTTTTGTTTTTTGATAGAATGAAAGATGGCAAGCATATTCGATGTATTGCAGCTCCACAAACGATAACAGTCTAGGATTTAGGACGATTCTGTGGTCCATATATACCACACCTGAAAATGATGCCGTAAGTGTTTTAACCAGCTTTATCGTGCTTTTCAGTTATCATGAAACATTAGTTCTGGTGAAATTAATTTATCTTCAAAGCGTTTGTTTAAGATGATAGTGTAGATTTGTGATGCAAAACGAACGGGACCTGGATGACGCACACAGCGATCGCTTGACTTCATGTGAGGTCACTGTGACGTAATTGTGAACCTCTATCCACATAAATGCATCAATGTAAACATATATGCATATAACATATTGAAATATGTGACCGTATACAAAACATATATGTTTTGAGAATGGTCTTCTGGGAAGCACACATTTCTGGGCTTATAGCGAGAAGGTGAAGCAGTGAGACAACGGAAACAGCACAAACATAATGGCGCAGGGGTGTAGTTTCCCCTTCTGTTGGAGGAGGAAGAGGCTGAAGCCCCTTCACCAAATTAGGCTGTAGGCCAACCCAAGGGAAGAAACACATTTGTTGGCTTTTTTGTTGGTAAGTCACGCCATTTCTGACCGCTCAGTTCTCCCCCCGCCTCACACAACTCATTTTGCAAAACTACGCCCATGCAACGACGATAACACCGATCCCCACCGATATGTTGGCCGATACAAAGGTATAACCCGACACACCACCCACACGGTTGTCACTTCAGCCCTCCTGCCGTTGCAGCTGCCGCCGCCTGTGAGCTAGTCATGACGTCCACGGCCGCGCCGGGGGGCGACCAGAGCGGGTCGGCCCAGCTGCCCGACCTCTGGCTGCCGCACGTGGTGCAGCTGCTGTACGAGCTAGACCAGGGCGGCCACCTGCTCAACGGCAGCGGCCGGCTGCTGCAGCCACGGCTGCGGCCCGTCTTCGCGCGCCTGGCGCCGCCCGTGGTGGCGCTGTACGCGCTGCTGGCACTCGCCGGTGGCGCCGCCTGCCTGCTGGCCGCGCGTGCCCTCTGGCGCTCCGGCGCGCCGGCCGCGGTCCCCGCCGCCCTCTGGCTCAACGTGATGGTCGCCTGTTTCGCCAACTGCGCCGTGGTGCTGCCACTGACGCTGACGGTGCTGCTGCTGGAGAACTGGGTGCTTGGCAGCACCATGTGCTTCATGCTGCCGATCATGCAGGTGGGGCTGGGCGGAGCTGGCTTGAGTACTGGCTCACCTTCGGTGGCCGACGCCATCCGAGCTCGGCTGGTCTCGGATGCTGCATCCTGTCGGCAGCACGATTTTGCTTAAGGAAATTACGGTCACATGTCACCGCCGATGACAGATAGTACAATATTTTAAATGCAACAATCGCGATGAATGACATATTACTGTCAACGTTCAGTAGTACTCAAAACATGGTAAGCCCGTTCAAAATTGCCATGTTTAGCGCGGCAGTTAAGCTAACTGACATCACATGTGCACCTCGCGCTAATGCATGTGAGGTTTCAACAGATTGCATTGAATGCCCGCTAATTCAGAGTCGTTGCATCACAGCGTGCCGTCATCCCTTGCGTGACCCTGTGCAAGCACTACCAGACTCCGCCAGCCTGCGAACGGCGAGGACCCGAATCTGATATGCCTCTACGTCGCCTGGAACAGGACACACCTCTGAACCTGGTGACGCTGACGCTACTGCTGATCACGGCGACGCAGTACCACCGCCTGCGGCAGAGGGAGGTGTGGCCGTCCAGCTCGCTCATCAGCCTGCTGGCCGTCTGGCTGACCTCGATCTGCACTGCGCTGCCGTACCTCATCTACACCGACTACCTAGACATGGAGGCAAGTGGCGGGTCCGGCCGCCGCGGCCGCTGCGTACGGCCGCATCAGCCTCAGCTGGTGTACACTGCGTGCAGGCGTCGCATCTTGTGGGCGTCTGAACTCGTCCTGCGCGGAGAGGGTTTGCACACTGCACTGCACGCCACCACGGCTGTGCGGCGGAACGGCGTGTACATGAGGCGCATCCGCCCGCACAGAGGCGAGCGAACACATCAGACGGGTTAGCACGCTGAGTGAAACAGTTAGTACACTGCTCAAAACTTGCCATAAGGATGGTGGCCTGGACATGGTGATATGGTGACATGGACAGGGACTTGGACATGTCAATAAATTACAGTGTAAATACTTATTCTGCATGCACTTCCCTCCATTCAGTTCTACCGAGTGCTTGATTACCATTTTTTGTTATTTTTGACAGCCGTGATTACAATTCAGATGGATGTTAACATATTCGAATGCTAAATTCTGAGACCGGAGAATCCATCATGCCAGAATTGAATCCGGCATGGAAATCAGACGCTGATGCCAGATGAATGCCTATGTAGATTCGATTTTCCAACGCAAGCTATATTGGTCAAGAACCTACCGACGTTCAGGCTACATGCGGCTAAAACTGATTGCCCGTGATGCAGTGACATGTTAAATGGGATGAGTGACGCACCGGGCGTGAATTATTCATCGCCGGTCGGCTCGCCGCTCTCCGGCAGGTTTACTTCGGGCCCGCCATGCAAGGGGTCGGCCTCTGTGTTGTCAACATTGCACACGACGTGGGACCTTTCACCAAGGTTCTCTTCGTTTGCATGTAAGTGCTCAAGAAAGATATCTAATGAAACAGTGTCGCTCTTTTGTCAGGAACAAAATAGCAAAAGTCGCAACGTGCAATGACTGAAGATTTGAGCGGAGTTCAAAACACGTTGGGTAACTTAACGTCATTGATCGTGAAATGATGTGCTGGCGTCGTGAATCGAGCATGAAGTTACTGAAGTTAAGAAGTTACCGACAATCATCCCACAAACTAACAACGACGAATTTTGATCATCAGGTACCTTCTACCAATGCTGCTAATCGGCATATTTCACTTCCTCATCTCACACCATCTGAACAAATTTGGATCATCTCGTTTCCACTCAGATGAAGATTTGGAGATGGAAAGCACTAGCCTTCATCAGTAAGTACCAAGCGATGGAATGGTGTCAGCAGGCTCCAATCGCCACTTTTGCTACAAATGACAATGTTTTGTCCTCATCTGTGTTAATTTGCGTTGTCGCGTCATGAAGCGACAGTGCTTGAAAACGCAACTGAAGCGCAAAAATACTAGATAAATTGACAACATGACTTGCCATCAAGTCGCATAATTCAAATGAGCACACCCATTCCATGGACGTTTCTCAACGATCTGAATGATCCTGATCTGTTCTGAACGCTTAAAAATCACCCGGTGCTACATTATATCTATGTATGTTTCCAAGCGCTCTGGAGCGCGCAACCTAAAACTATCTGGGAAATCACAAATCAAACAGCTTGGGAGAACCTGAGATCCTCCCGCCCGCTACACTTGAGTCACGTGGTCTCATCGGTCAGGCGTGGCGCGGCGGCGTTCCCGCCGGCGGCGGGGGAGGACCGGGGCGCCGGCCCGCCCCTGACGGAGCGAGGCCTTGACCTGCAAGGTCAGGTGGTGGCCCACAAGTACTTGCTGTGCGTGACGCTGCTGTACGCCGTCTGTCTCTTCCCCCTCATGGTGCTCAGGTTAGTGTCCTGTTTGTTGATCGTGCCCATGTAGTGCATTGTCTGTCGATGGTGCTCATGCAGTGTCCTGTCTGCTGCTGGTGCTCATGGTGCGTTCCGTCTGCTGCTCATGCTGATATTATGTTCCGTCTGTCTGGCTGCTGTTGGTGCTGATGTTGTGTTCTGTCCGATGCTGATCCTCAGACAAGCTACTTGTGAAATCCGGGACCAGTGTCACTTCACCCTTCTCAAGCTGTCACTGGTAGTGTAGACCGTGTAAATTGCTCGAACGAGGAACTCGGGCAATGTCTTGCGACGTGCATAATAATTGCATGGAGAAACTTTTAATTGGATGCTCTCAATAAGACTAATACTTTGCCTTCATTCCAGGGTAGCGAAGCAGGCAATCTACGAGACGTACAGCAATACGCATTACTTCGACATCATTTACGTCGTGTTCGTGTGGTCCTGCTTCCTACCGAGTTTTACCACGCCTGCTCTGTACCTGATCTGGAACAGGCAGAGGTACGGCATTTTTAAGCTCCCAATACATCAGTAATGTGATTGTATGAAGAGCAACGCCTTTCCCGTTTCTCGCATACGTTTTAATTGTCGTTGTTTGCCATCCGCACGCCTCTCACTACTTGTGCTTGATGAAGTCAGCCTCAAGTATGTTTTGAACCGTACACCGGTCTTGCGACTTGTCTCATCACGCCTTCTCGCACGCTGGTGTTCTGGCAACATCCGCTAACGCATGTCTCATCCAAACTCCATGGTTATAGAAAAGACCACTATCCACAAGGACACTCAGCACGCGTTCAGCAATACGACTAGGAACCACTCCCTTCTAATGCCCGGGACATTAACCCTCCACGAATGTCGCCGTGAAATCTGACACGCTGATAAAAGCCACGCGTCCACAGGCAAAGTCGTCGGCAACAGCAGGACACCACCCCGATAGTGACAAAGCCATTAAGACAAGCATTCTTTGCAGGGTCAGCATCTTACAAGATCACAACGGTGTGCTGCAGCAGGAGGCCACTGACGCCCCGGGGGCGGACCGCTCCCAGTCCGGTCTGCTGAAGGGCGCAGACCAGTGTCCGGACGCCAAGCAGCACTGACCGGCGGCAGGACTCCAGTGAACGCAGACCGGTGTCCGGACGCCAAGCAGCACTGACCGGCGGCAGGACTCCAGTGAACGCAGACCAGTGTCCGGACGCCAAGCAGCACTGACCGGCGGCAGGACTCCAATGAGTGCCCGCCAATGACGGGACTACAGACGGAACATTGACCAGTGACGAAACTCCACACAGGAAACTGACCAGTGACGATACTCCGCGGGGAACATTGACCAGTGGCGGGACTACAGTGAACGCAGACCAATAACGAGACTCCAGACGGAACACTGGCCAGTGACGGGACACCTCACTGAACACTGGTCAGTGACGGGACTCCTCACGGAACACTGACCAGTGACGGGACACCTCCCCGAACACTGGTCAGTGACGGGACTCCTCACGGAACACTGGTCAGTGACGGGACTCCTCACGGAACACTGGTCAGTGACGGGACTCCTCACGGAACACTGACCAGTGACGGGACACCTCACCGAACACTGGTCAGTGACGGGACTCCTCACGGAACGCTGACCAGTGACGGGACTCCTCACGGGACACGAGCAGTGACCAGGTCGGAAGACGCGCTGAACATTGCTGAAACTTCAAGAAGCACAAGCCAGTGTCGAAACTCCCAGGAGTATAGGCCAGTTTCCTGACAATGCTCCAAAGTGCACCTGTCACTGACCAATTCTCATACCAGACTCCACAGGATGCTGACTGGTCTTTACAGACTCAACAGGCACTTCGAGCCAGGCCATTCTCGGCTATTGGGGAAGTTGTGCGCTCATCTTTTCTCACCGCACAGCTGGGATGTGATATTTCTGTCGAGCGTCTCGTGACGCTCAGCGTGATGGATCAATCGGAACTGGACGCTTGCACGCTCAGTTCGGAAGCCATGAACCGCTTGTGGTGTAAGCTTCGTCGCTGGGCTATATCGATGAGGCCATCAAGTTGCCAGGCTCAGAAACAGTGGCTATATCGTCGTAGGTACTTTATTGCTGCGTGTGTGGTCATAAGGTGCATGTGATTTAGGGATTCTCCTCGATGTAAATAAATTTTAAATATTGAACATTCTCGAAAGCCGTGGTTGGAAGCAAGCATACAAATGCCTCTTTTAATCCTAGTCATGTTCAAGCCAAGGTGACGTTAGGGCGCGAAAGTCGGGCGTGATTTCCACAGTCAGGCTGCTGCGTAGATGTCCGATATAAAGCGTCTTCGACAGCCGGAGCGAAGTTCGTTATGGTCGTTCTGCTCAGTGCGAATATAATGCATATCAGTCTATTTAAAAGCCCTCGGTTTTGTAAGGAAGTCACTGCGAACGAACGAAATTCATGCGAACGGACCGAAGTTCCGTTTTAACTGGCTGAACAGTCTTCAACGCATTCTCATGAGAATCGTAAAATTGTTTTTGAGTACCTGACGCAGTTATGAATTCAACCAGATTGTGTGCAATTGCATTTTGTCACATGGAAGAATTCAATCAGCAATTATCGATATGTGCACAACTTTTGAATAGTCCAAGCATCATCTGACAGTCTTAGAGAAAAGGAGACCAGGGCGGTATGGCAGTGTGCTTCAACGCCAAGCACACGACTTATTAATGTTACATGTTTAGTCAATTACTGAGGGCTTATCTATCGTAGCTTTTCATGCTTAAATATTCAAAAGGATTTAAGCATACATTGGACATTAGTTATGTCTTACATGCGACAAGCAAACTCTCTTGGGTCTCATTTGGAATACCCTTGTGTATGTATTACACGCTACACTTTTTATCCTGATATCACCCGCTTTTGACTTTCGTTTGACGAGCTGAAAAAGTCTGTATAATTTAATGATATAAAAACAGACCATCAGTCATCAGTGGGACAAGTCTCCGGTTCCGTGTTTTTTTTTTTGCGGGGTTTGCCTGAAATCTCTGATATCGCGGCATGCTTTAGCTTACACGAATATCAACAATTCCGGCCGTATACCGATGATCATGCATGGATATTTTCTTTACGGTGTCCCCGGAATGTCATATGTCTACACATTTGTATAACGGATGCATGAATGCCCCCTAAAAACTCCGATCAGAGGTCGTTTTTACTATGAAAATACCGTCGCTCAAGATATCTCTAGCTGGCGATTCGCCGCCACGAAACCGCAGAGCATAATGCCGGCATTTTTACTGCGCACAAAACGGCTAAGCCATTTAACGTAATTCGTCATCGTCAATTGCCTGTAAAAACTAAGCCCTGTGAAATCGTTAGTCAACATTTCTTTCTGGAGGCTCGTTTTTACAATTGTTTATGGTGATGCCTGGAGTTAATTCAAAGGAACAAAATATCCTCAGTGAAGGTATTTATTCTGTTGCATGACAATGGACTCAGGCTGATTCACTGCCGATATGCACACACGCGCACGCACACACACACACACCACACACACACACACACACACACACACACACACACACACACACACACACACACACACACACACACACACACACACACACACACACACACACACACACACACACACACCACACACACACACACACACACACACACCACACACACACACACACATTGTAGATGTCGTAGCACACGCACGTTGTGGATGTTCCTGACGTCTATACGCAACAAGCGCACACAGTGTGAATCGCTTCTTATTCGTTCGCCAGTGAGAGAGCCGCGTATTGCTGCCGGCAGGAAACTCTGCTGGCGCCGGCACGCCCTGTTAGGCATCCCACCAGAGATGCTCTGGCGTCATGGTATGCGTATGTCACACCGATCACCCAGACTTCTGCATTTGCGTCGACACGCATCCGTCGAGGAAGACTGAACAAAAACAACACGTTCCGGGCCTTGGTCAACGCAGTTGTGTGGGCCTGAAGCCAGTCGGCCGGATCTTGATCTCCATGGTAGCGAGGGAGTAGTGGAAGCCGCGCCAGAAGCGCCAGTCGATGCCGTCCGCGTAGCTGCCGTGCGGCCCGCGCAGGTACAGGCCGTTGGGGTTGCCGTTGTGGCAGGCATCGTACCACCAGCCGCCCTTATAGAGCTCGGCGCAGTTGCCGGCGCCGTACAGGTCGTTGTCGGTGTCGCGGGTGGTGAAGCCGACGCCGTTGGCGCTGCTCAGGCCGTCGCCGGCCGTGCCCGTGTACGCGCCGACCGTCAGCCGGTACTGATCACTGCCGGGCGCCACGGCGAAGCCGGCGTACTCGGCGTAGCGCCGCTCGCCGTCCAGGTCGGACATGTCGAGCCGCAGTGTGACCCGCCGGTCGCGCGTCAGCTGGTGGATCAGCTCGTTGCCGAGCCAGAACTCGGCGCTGCGGTTTCCGAAGCCGCGCTGGTAGTCGTTCCAGTCGCGGAAGAAGTCCTCATGCTGCGGCAGGTCGGCGCGCCGCTGCAGCACCGTCCAGCCGCCGCCGGCCGTCGCCATGTCGCAGTAGACGGAGACGAGCCGGGCGCGGCCCAGCTCCGGCCGGATGACGTACTCGCCGCTGACGGTGAAGCCCTGGCGGCGAAGGTCGGCGCAGTCGCGCGCCGGGCCGGCGCACGGCAGCGGCGGCGCGCGCGTCCGGTCAGCCACCACGTGCAGCAGCGCCGCGCTGCGCTGCTGGCTGGCGGCCACCTGGCGCAGCTGCTGGCGCGAGTTGTTGGCGAAGCGGTAGAACGAGTCGCTGAGCAGGGCCAGCCGCATGTCGGGATCGTCGGCGGGCTCGCGCCGGCTGACGTTGCGGCCCAGCTCGGCGATGCGCTCGGTGAGATTGCCCAGCTGCTGCTGCACGGCCTGCTGGGTGCCGATGGCGATCTCGGCCACGTCCACCACCGACTTGATCA